TTTCATGTCAACAAATCGGATATCTTAACAAATCTGCTATATAAAAATGAAATTTTAGACTTTAATTTTACAAAATCAATTAACAAAAATCACCCATATAAGTGAAATTCGTAAAATTTTACTTTCAAAGTAAAACCTTAAAATGAGCGATTTTACGTTGCAATTAATTTTTTTAAAAGGTTTGGGAAAAAGAGCTAGATAAAAAAATAAACTGATTTCGCGCAAGTGCTTATAAGCTGTAGTCTAACAGGGGTTTCTGGCTCAGTGACTTATTGCTTTACTGGAAAATGCCATGTAATAAAAATACCAGGCAGATAAAATACTATAAAAAAACTTGTGACTTCTTTGAAATTGAATGGGGTGGCATTAGTGATCTGCCATTATTTAATTTGCTCACCGGCTCAGATATCCTTGTCCGTCTTTAAGTCTTATAAGCACTTGTTGAGTTTTATTATTCCTGGGGCGTTTTTCCTTTCTCTGTTGAACTGAGATATCCTTCATCTTAATGCTATCTTTGATATCCCTAACATTTTTAAGACAACATTCATCACTGTACTTAAAACTACTTGCTATAATTTTGCGCGATTTTTATATTATATTATAATTTAAATATATTTGGTTGAATATTTAAAAATTAACATTTTAAATCTATATTTGGCGGACGGACAAATTGATCCTATAAGGGTTCCGTTTTTTTCCTATGAGATACGGAACCCTAAAAAAGATTCCTCATTATCATCTAATATACTTAAGCATATTTACGCTCAAGAAGAAAAGGTGAGTTTGCAGGATCGGCCCTAAGTCACTTAATAACGGCCCTATCACAATTCACTTATTATTTATTATTAAAACACACACACTATTATTAATTATATGAAAATTGATTTTATTTATTATTTTCTAACTTTTTAATCTAAATATTACCAGTATTTAGTTATTTTTTTAGTTTGTAAAATCAACTATAGCACTTAGAGATGTATCTTTATCACGTATTGAAATTTTATATAACCTTAAAATACATGTTCTATTGAATTTTATTCACATGACAACTATTTATTATATTTTTTCACTTACATTACTTATTTCGTAAGTGCGCGCGCGACCGGAATAGTTATGAAATGAAAGATTCCCCGAGCAATGTTGCAAATGTAAGGGCGGCTTCGGCTTCGTTCGCGACTCCAAAGTGAAACACGAAGCGAGAGCACCGTCAAACGACTGACGGATCTCGTTACTCTCAGCGGAGCAGACGCGTAGGCCCTACAAGGTCAAACTCTATCGCGCTGTTGCAGTCAATAGACAACCTGTAAAAATTCGCGCTCTTTCTATCATGAAGCTAGCAATGATCAAGGTCGTTTCAGTAAAACTAATTATTGATTTTTTTCATAAGCTTTTCATACAACGTAATAATATTTATATTGTTTTTGTTCATATATTTCTTTGTTCGTATCACAGTTTCTGTACTATGTAAAAACGATCGATATATCTTATACCTTGTTAAAAAATTATGAATTTACGACAATATCAATGTGTTGACTGAACTCAGGGAGTTGACGTCTATTATTAATAATATTAGTTAGATAATAATGTATTATAATAATACTAAAATTACTTATATTATAAATGCAAATTTTTAAACGGATGGATGGATGAATGGCTAAATGGCAGAACGACTGCATGGATTGGATGGATGGATGTAGAAAACAATCAGGAAGGTCACATATGCAACCAATTTTTTTTTTTCTCACTATAATGTTATAAAAGCGAATGTTTGGATGAATATATGGATCAATGATGTTTGTTAGAATCTATCTCGAGAATGGCTACATAGATCTCGCTGAAAGGCGATGTTGGTTAGTTCTTTGATGGATGTTTTCAAGAGTCAATTAATAGGAAACTTTTTTATTACACAGATGAAATATGAAAAGAGAAACGTGAATATTTTTTCATTTTGTTTTACTTGACCTTTAAAATAAACTTTTATTCTGCATATTCCCCTTAAAACAGACAGCTGAGATGATTTTGTTATAACGTAAAGTATAATGACAAAATAAAGTTATTACTGTCATAACAATAATTTCGATCATTACTAATAACTTATTTAACGATTAATTAACAATGTTAGGAAAAGATTATCTAATCTGTGGTTTTAAATTAAAAGTACTGCTGCCACAAATCTTTATACACTATGTAGCCTAGCTGTCATAATGTGACGTCTGTCAAAGTCACGTCCAACAGTGACGTTAGCTGTCAGTCTTCCTTGACAGTTGACGAAAGCTCATTTCCATTTGTCGTTTATTAGTCGAAACCAATAAATTATCATATATTTTTTATTTTATAGAAAGGATAAAGTTTTCATGTGTATATTAGAGGAAGTATAAAAGTAGTGCCAGTGATCGAGAAATTGAGGAGTAAAAGATTACCGTTATTGAGACATGTTATGCGGAGGGATGATGATGATATAAGCAAAAAAGTATTCATTTTGGATTAAGTTAAGTTTGAATTTTGATAGCTACAAAGGTAAAAAGATTTAGTTTGAATGTGGATAGCTACAAAGGTAGAGGAAGACCAAAAACAGTATGGAATGATTGTGAGAAAGAGGATATGCGTAGGAAGGGGGTAGATTCGGATATGACGGCTGATAGAGATGTATGGAGGAGTAGTACATGCTGTGCCGACCCTCAATAGAGATAAGGGAAGGTTGATGATGATGATATTTTATATTTTATTTTTTTATTAAGAAAAATAACTGTTCTAATATTGAAGCTAATCATTTTTATCTCACATCGATTTTTTTATCGTAAGCGACAAGAAATGTACTTCCTTTTTCCCTGTCGACGTCCGGATGAAAATAATGTCAGATGTTGCTGACCGCTAAGTATGGCGTTGTCTACATTTATCGAGTTCACGGCCAATAGTCCTTTTCTTGTTACTCGTAGTCCCGCCCCTTGTGATCTGTTTCCGCAAATCGCCTAATGCGAAAAATATTTGCCCATGCGGACAGAGTCACGAGCGACAGCTAGTTAATAATGAAATGTAAATTCAAATTATTTCCGCAACTTTATCATCAGATTCCAAATTTAAAATAAATGGTTAACACTAGGGGTAGCCTTTTACAAAAGTTTGAGTATTGATTCGTTGAAACAAAAAGTTATTAGGTTTTTTTTTATATTATACTAGGAATTCATTAGTTATCTGCGTAGCAGTAGATTAAAAAATATGAGTTACACTTAAAGTAAAACTTATTATATTTTTTTATTCTTTTAATTATAAAACTTTATTAATTGTAAATAATTTTCATCGCATCATTGCTTAACAAGCCAAAAGATAAACTTTAGCTCGAACTGTGTACTGATTATCTTTTCCAAATGTTCTATCGCACTATATCCATACCAGCTCTTTAGATCGTCGGCTTATTTTGTTATGTGTACTGACCTACCTTAACTGCATCATTCTGTGGCCGTTCAGTCGTTCATCTATAGGCGAAAAAAAAAACCGAAATACTCTAATCCTCTGTAGCCTAATGGTTTAGGATACCGCCTGAGAAGTGAAAGGTCGGGAGTTCGCGTCCCGCCTAACACCCGCATATAAGCTTTTAAGTATAATCAATGATTTAGATGATGATGGGTGGTAAAGTAAGTTCTTTTTAAATTTAGTGTAATGTGTAAAGTATGTTTTCAACGATATTTCACTCACTGACAGAGATTCTAGAAGACTTGTTAACTGTCTGATAAATATAAGTCAATTTAATAAAGTGCGAACAACCTGTTCTATGTTAAACAAGACTGTGTGATAAGTGGGGTAATATAAAATAAATTGGTACTTACAATAAACATTAAAGGTTGTTAGGAAACGATAAAAAACATAGAAACAGTTCATAAAATTTGACGTCAAAATGGTATTCAAATAATAGTAGGTCAACCAGCAAAAGTACAAAATATATTGTGTATTATGGTCCATATCATTGTACCTGTGATTACAAACGAAATTGGTAAATTTGAAATTAATAATTTCGTTTGTAAGTCGCATTTAATGGTTCATGCAACGATCCAACTCACGAATGAATAGATCGGATGCAATGTTTTCTTCACAACCGTGAGTTTCCATTGCAAAAACACATGCACAAATATACGGTCATTTTTTTTTTCATAAAAAATGGAATAACGATGTTTTTCAATAGTGGGAACTCAGTAATTTTGTTAATTTCTTGTACTTGTGGTTATATATTATACATATATTCATTTCAGTAATTGATTTTATTTAAAAAAATAGTTTTTACTTGTTGATAAAACTCTACTTTGATGTAATATAAAGTTTTATTTTTAAACTTTCTGCCAATGTTAATTATCACCGATACTTATAAGATTGATGCTTAATTTTAGAAATATATGCGTGGACCGAAACAAAAATGATTTAAAGTATGATATTAAATGTTCTCTCGGTTAATTTTTTATACTTTATAGATGTCTGAAACATGAACTGGATTTTGATCGTCGTTTTGACAATTTATACGACTACTAACGCCATCTGTTGCAATTTCTCCTTACAATTAACATTCCTAGCGTAGTTAACATTATTCAGTATGTCAAAAAAGATGTAAACTGGAAATTTCTCAACACTGTTATGATACAAAAGAAGTAAATATAAATTTATTAATAAAACAACTTAGAACAATATTATCATCAATACACATAATTATTAAAACACAATTATTTTTACAGCGTTCTTTATTATTTCGAAACAAAAACAGCACTAAAACTATATAATCGACATTAAATAATTGTAATCATTAAAGTAAAGTTAAAGTAAAATAATCCTATCTTTTTGAAAAACAGGAACGATCGCAGTACGATCGGAAAACTAGAAACATAAATGTTAAAATAATCAGTTTTATAATATTTGAGATCATAATTAATAACGGAATGTTTTTAAAATACATATTAAAATTATTAAATATAACTAATCCAGAAATTTAACAATAAGTAATAATTTAAACATGAATAATTTTAACTTTGCGGAACAATTTTACTACTCACTACTATTTTATTTAAGCAAATTCACGAAAGCTTCAAGCATTTCCGTGTTGGCGAACTACTGTGGCGATGAATTTAATATCCCTGAAATCAAAACAAATATATTTATATACATTTATGAGTTTATATATCTCAATCATATAAAATACCAAAAATTTCTACATTTTATGTCCAAAGTCTTTAACATAATAAGTGTATATTTAAAACAACGCCATCTAGCTTTCATTTGAAAAACCTTCATGATGAGGATTTCAGCGTTTTCCTTACTACTATATGGTATCAATTATTGTTTTTCGACTCAAGCCCAAGCTTTAAATAAATTTAATCTGATATGTAAACTTTGTAAATGACAAGACATATTTTCTTTGGTTTAATTAACTTTCGTAGTATTTCTATCGTCTTAAAAATGAACCTAACCCAAGAACCCTCTTTAAAGGTGTTTGGTGGATATTCGTCTGATGGCTCGAGATATGTTACTGAAATTCTAAAATGTCGAAAACGTCATGTAAATTGGTCTCACATCGTGTTGGCAACGATTCCAGATGCTGTGTTGCATGTAGTCATGGGACGTCATGTCAATTGCTTCGTTGTTGCCCACATCCACATGCTGCTGGGCTTCCTCCTTTTGCTGCTTGTAATGAGTGAGCGCCATGATCATGTCTGAAATTAAATTAAAAATCACTGTAAAGTAAACATTTTTTTTCTAACAAAGAGAAAATTTTATTACATTTTAGGATAATCATTTAAAGAATTTCCTCGAAATGTCAAGCTCGTTTTAAATCAACAGTTTTATAGTAGGAATAAAACTCAATCACGTAGTATTATTATACAAATGCATTTTTGAAACTTAACTTTTTTCATCATCAACCGCTAGATGGCACTTAAGCTAGAAACAGCATTGAAGGGAATTTTTAATAGTTACGAAAATAACCCATAGGTGGCCATACCTGTAACCCTTGAAACAGTTTTGATTATTTTAAAGCTAGAAAAATAATCATACTGTAAAATTGAAAATTTAATAAATGCTTTTAACATTCACCTTTAATCTAACTAGTCATATTTTCAATATCTGACAAAACAATTGTTTAAAAAAAATAAGTTTTGAAATGAACGTGAACTTTAATATTTTTATTTTCAAGTACAACTTCCTAAGTCCTAACTGTTACCACTCAAAAGACCTAAATATCTGAGTGCCTAAGCAAATAAATAGCAAGTTGTTTGTGTATATTAGAGGAAGTTAGAAAGTAGCACCATTAAACGAGAAATTCCGGAGCAAAAGGTTAGCGTGGTTTAAACATGGTATTCGGAGGGATGATAATCACATACACAAAAGAGTAAGAACATAAAGATAGAGGAAGACCAAGTGTATGGATGGATTGTTACAAAGAGGATATGCGTAAGAGTTGGAATAATTGGATAAGGGCAGGTTGATGATAATGATAACTCACAGTTTAGTTCGAAGAATTGCGCTTCTTGCATCAGCAGGTCAGTGTACTGGAAATCCTCGGGGAGGAGCAACTTTTGGTTGCGCAAGAAGTTGAGAATGTGACGGAACATTCCGCCATCACGATCAATGAAGTAGTGCTGCTTCAGGGTGTCCAGCACAATCGGCACCTCACCGGAGAACATCCTTCCCAGCTTCGACTCCGGATACCTGAAACCATAAAGCAGGATTATTTAAAATTCAACTATTTTTATTTGAAATGAAATGAACGAAGGGTTGCAATTTACTGTGTCATTTATATTGTATATATAATTTCGTAAAATAATGCTTTCGTAAATTATTTATCCGACGTTCTTACGGTGAAGGAAAATATCGTGATGCAACCTGCACGTATCTGAGATGAAATTTAAAGATATGTGTGAAGTCAACCCGCACTTGACCAGCGTGGTTCACTATGGCCTAGTCACCCTTAACTTAGGGTAGGCTCCGAGCCCCTCGGTGGGGACGTATAGTGAGCTGATCATGAAAATAATGCTATAATGTTACGTCATTGTGTGAGAAAAAGTACAAAAAATTGGAATTCGTATTTTAACGAAATGCATTTCAAATTTGAATGACAAATATATTATATGTACATTTACAATTATTTTTAATCCCTATCCCCAATTTAGATAAAATAAAATTAACTTTTTCAAATTATTTTTGCAACGCATAGTAGGTAATCACGTTCATTTATGTATACGACAATCTACGGACAAAGCAAAAGCAATGGCTAGGTACAAAGATTGTGGACCGTAATGCGCTATGTTTCACGACAAAATTCATATTATTCATAAAGTCAGTCCTGGGGCGAAGCCGCAGGCGAAATAGTCGCACGTTCAGCCTTCAGTTCTGTCTGTGTTTAGGAAAAACTTAATGCAAACTTTGCAGTTGTCGCCTATCCAAAGCAAAATTTTGAAACTTATGATCAAACCAAAGAAATCAAGTATTCGTTTTACCGATTTGATTTCTTTCGAAGTCAATTTTACAAAAGGTAGCAAAAGGACCTACCCTTTTTTAAAAGAAATTTTTATTTAAAAAATTAACTAACATAAGCGTACCCGCGGGTAAAACCTAGTGCGATAATAACTTTAGGGTTCGTCATAACAGTTCGATAATCAGCGTGCGTACAGCGTAGCAAAGAGTTAACGGCACTTTTTCCACTAGTGCAACTAATTACGTGATTTTACCCGCGTGCAAGTACGTACGATTCGTGACTCCTAAAGTCACGCAGCCAGAGTCGCGCGTCCGTTCGCGCTTGTGGAAAAGGGGTCTAAATAAGCTATGTGTCGGTGGCCGCAGTGCCGCGGGCCTGGCCAGAGGCGTCGCGGCCGGAGCGACGCCCCCGCGCTTCGATACAACGTTCTTTTAATCAACTCACTCGAGGCCACGAACATAAATATCCGGCCTACTCTACCTACCTCGAAAACAAAAAAAAAACAAAAGCAATATTTTCATTAACTTTAAACCTTAAATCATATTTAAATCTACTATGATAACCCTCAATATTCATGTCACAAACTTTATAAAATTAAATGTAAAAGACCTATTTTTCGTAACATGGTTAAATAATTTTTAATTAATATGTACTTTTGGCATTAATTATTTCCAGTTTCCTATAATTATTGAAATAATTACATAATTTCCTATAATTAAACGCGAACGCATAAAATACAATTCAAATTTCGAACAAAAGACCGGTGTATGCAAAGCATATTTGTGAATAAATATAACCAAAGTAAACTTCACTCCGGGTTTCTATTTTATATATAAATTATTGATAATTCGCTCGAACAATGATAGCCTGAAGGATTAAAATAATTGAGATAAAAGAATGAACGTATGTCACGTAATAAAAAGATGGTCGCATTAAAATGAGGGACTATATTTCAATATATGTACAATGATACGTACAATAATTCTGATAATTACATACAACTCATAGTTTAATCCGATTAATAGTAATACTATCATTGTTAACGCATTATCATTTAATTTAACGCAATATATTTTATGTACAATGAAATAAACTAAATAATGATAATAATTAATTAACTAAATAAAATTAATTCGAAATTAATTCTAAAATAAATTAATATTCATATTTTAAATTTTAAAATAAAAAAAATGTTTGTTAAAAAATGTGAATACGGGTGGGGAGATTGTGATTTAAAGAAAAGATTTCCTTCAGTAAAATTCTGACCATCTTTTAAAAAAAAAACTAAAGTTTGATAATGACATGAAGTAATTATTGGCTAACTCTAAAAATTAAAACTTTTCTAAAATTCCCTAGAATTATACGTATTAAAAAAAATAACATGTTTTTTAAATGCAAATAATTTTCTTTACTAGATATTCTAAGCAAAAAATGAACTAGCTTATTTAAATGCTATGCGTGGCCATTTTGCATGACTCAACGACGGCTACATTCAAAGCAAACAAAAATGTACATCCACCATGTCACACGACTCTAAGTTTTAGTAAGACCTTATAATTAAATGCAAGCAAGATGTGGCAAATATAATTCTGATTCTGGTTAATGAGTTCTATTCATTTGTTTCGTGATGAGTTTACATGATTTTAAATCTTACTAATATTATAAATGCGAATATTTAGATGTATTGATTTCGCTGAATTTTTCATAGGTGTAGAGACACATAGGCTACTAATTAACCCTTAATTCGATGGTGTCCAGTGTGACGAACAACTAATAAAAAAACTACTAAATTACGTAAGTAGACATTACTAAAAAAAATAATTTTTTTTGCTACCAAAAATTTCGTCGAATTAATGGTTATCTTTTTTCTAATTCCGCGCGGACGGAGTCACGGGTGTCAGCTAGTCAGAAATAATCAACGTCTCAACTGTAAATTCTTGTATTAAAACAATTAGACATCTCTCTCATTATCTTTGTAAAATAGAATAAACATTTCTTTATAATACAAATATTTCAACATTGGAATTTCATTATTACGAAGCGTAAAATATTGTAGTTATACTGATTCACAAGTGAACTGCCGCCGAAATCAAATGGTTGTAAAATACATTGTTGTCCCGAACCCTTTTATAATAGAGTGAAAGCTGGAATGCTTTTATAAAAAAAAATAACAAAATTAATCAAACAAATAAAATTTATCGTTTTAAAAAAATATGTTTGTTGTTTATTTATTGATTTTGCTGTTTCTTTTAAACAGTAACTACTATTTTCTATGTGCATTTGCAGAATATGAATGATTAATGATTAAATAATATTTCTTACTTAGTCAGCGTCTCCAAAGAGGAGGTGTAAATCACACCTCCAACGTCAATATGGACCGGAGCCTTGAAGGGCGAGGTGGATGCGACCCTTGGCATGTAGTTAAAGGGTTTATCCTCGAAAGGCTCCGGCATTCCACGGATTGGTAACAATGCGTTACTTTCCATCTCCTGAAATAAATAATATTTTAATTTGCAATTTTACTAACACATTAACTACTAAGGAACTGTGATATTAATATTATTTTTATATATCATAAGGTGGCAAACGAGCGTTGCCTACCTTTAATTGACGGAGGAGAGGATGCACAGAAAGTAAATATTTTCCCATCCCATGCATCCACTCATCCGGAAAGTCCACTTCCACTTCCCATCCTTTCCTTATAAGAAAAAGAGTGGGAAGGGAAAGAATGAAATACTACGGCGCACACTCATCAGACGAAACGCGGAATTGCTTCCACTGGACGCCTGTCTTCTGTGTGGTCGTGGTATTTCACCGGGCGAGGCGGAACAATTCGTGCGAAGATGTTAAAGCGAGCTCTACCACTATTGAAATAAACAATATTACAGGCTTGTTACAAAGTTTTGTAATAGCATAAAGGATAAAAGATCGTTAACATATAATTAAAAGTAAACAAACTGTTGAGTACAGGATATAGAATATTATTACTATGTAACGTACTTGTTTGCAACGCCTATACAAATTGTAGGATAGGTATTTCAAGGCTAATGCCTGTTGGTCCGCCGTAGTTACCTAAAATATTAAATAATAAAAATTAATTAAATTAATTAACAATAAAATAATTTATTTCTATAAGTAAATCTACACAAAGTTATAACTACCCACCAAAGGAAGTTGGCCGAACAAAGTCGGCCTTTCGTTTAGGAGATAGGAGCTACGCAGATGGACACAGCGATTCAGGCTGTGCCAATGCTTTGGAAAGTTGAGCTGAAATATAATAGAATATATGTAAAGGTGTACAAAATATTATAACACTAGCTGTCGTCATCGATCTGCGATTTGCGCTAAATAAAAAAAACTTAATAAGTAGCCTACATGTCCTTCCAGACTATGTTCTACATCTATGACAAATTTCAGCAAGATCCATGTAGCTGTTCTGGAGATACCTTCAGATAAACATCCATTCATCCAAATATTTTGATTGATTCTTAATTACTTAAAAATTTAATGTTTTATTTACAAGGATGCACAAGTCTATAGGGGTCTGTGTTCCCACCCAGTAACAGACGTGAGATTGATTTTTGAAAAAAAAAAGAAACCAATTTTTTTAAAAGCTACAAAAATTCAAATAGCCCGAACACATACGACAAATGACGTCACAGTAAAAAATGATCAGATTACCAAGACGTATAAATTGAGATAAATTCGAATTATATTAGTAGGTGGGGGCGCTATTGTACATTGTCATTTAATTTGGAATTGTCCAATCTTTTTAACTAAACATTAACAGTAATACTACGATATATTTGGAAATGCTATTTGCACATTATCAAGTATGTAATTAAATTTTACAAAAGCGTTCAAATGTAGTGAAGGCGTGGTGGGAGAGAACGCGACTAGCAAAGTTAATACTGCTCTTACATCATTTTTGTAATCCTGACCATTTACTATACTAGATGTGTTCTAAAACTACTTTATTTTGTTGGAAGTAATAAGTAGAATATAAAATAATCTAAAAAAAGAGACAGATAGACGGACAGACAACAAAGTGATCCTATAAGGGTTCCGTTTTCCTTTCGTGGTACGGGAACCTAACAACGACATGAGTGTAACTTTTAAAATAGTTCGGGAAGAAACAATTTGGTATCAATATCACAAGTTTGGTATTATACTCCTTTGGTTACTGTACCAGAATCTGTTATAGATTACATCTTGTGATTTGCCTAGATTAATATCTGTCCTATCTATCGCTTTGATACAATTAACGTCACCCTTGACATGCCAAATCCAGCATACCATACTTAATATATACAACATCATCCCTTGTGTACGAATACCAATTACTGCCAATTAATGTTTACTGTCAATGCAACAAACTATATCCGTGTATTTCAATTACCGTTACATCTTTGTTATAACATATTGGTATCTCTCTCTTAATTTAAGGGAATGAGTGAGACAATACTATTGTTATGAAATTGTTACGAGGGTGGAAACTCAATGCAATTTTAAAATACCAACAATGATAATCATTTCGCGACTGGACTTATGCAAACCTTACCTTATTAATGTTAAATGCGAATGTTTGGATGTATGGATGGATGTTTTTTAGAAGGTATATCTAGAACAGCATGGATGTCGCTGAAATTTGTCATAGACGTAAATACTCTAAAAGAACCAAAAGGCTACTAATAATATTTTTTCTAATTTCGCGGGAGTAGGATTTGAGTCGTGGGTGACCGCTAGTATGTATTATATATAATTTATCTTTATATAATAAAATGGCAAACGAACGAGCGGCCACCTTAATTTGTAAAAATTGGAAAGCGATCGCTAACTACAGACATCCACAATAGCAGCTACGTTTCCTACACCCAGTCAACAGAGAAGGGGACGCACAAAAAAAAGATATTTCCCCTTTCTATGCGTCCCCTTCTCTGTGTAAACCACTTCCCCTACGATCATTATGGAATAAGAAAATATCTCGTGTTACAATTTTTAATATTAGAAGAACATGCATGAAACGAAGGGAAAAATATATATATAATGAAACATGTATGTATGATGTATGGTGATGAAAACGTGGTTCAAAAACCCATCATGATGTGAACAAGGACATGGAGTTGATAATAATGTTTTTATTATCTCCGAGGTAAACTCCGAAACTACTAATCGTAACTATGTAAATATAATTTGGTACAACTTTCAATAAAGGATTTTTATTTCAATCCGAGCGAATTCGAGGCGCGTTGCTTATAAAAATACAAAGCAATAATCCATAAAACTTATTTGTCAAACATTATGAAAATCTAATATGAAATCAAACAATATCGAATGTTATACATCCTGCCAGACAATGTCTTTAGCTTAATTTATGTTTCCAACTTGTAGATAACTCACTAAACTCGCACAGTTCGTATGTTTGTTAAGATTTAACTGTGAGTTTCTAATGTCGAAACATTTGTTAGAAGGTATCTGCTGAACGACCCAATGTCCATAAAATTTGGCATACATGTATAGAACATAGTCTGGAGAACACATAGGTTAAAGATTAATAATGAAGTTTTTTTTTTCAATACCGAGCGGACGGAGACGCGGGCGACAGTACGTATATAAAGCTGTCTACGTATAGCTATATTCGTTTGATTATTTCGTACGCCTCTAAACATATATCGTAGTAAAAATACAAGTTTTTTTTAATCGATCAAAATGTTTTTTTACTATAGACAGGACATTAATATGTCATTTGTAAAAAGGACGTGGAGATTAACTCGCTACAAAGAACAAGGCAATTTGTCTGTAAGTTGAAATGCGGTAGCGGCTGCCACAGAACGTGTATGACCGTTCTATTACAACTAAGCGGCTTCAAAGAATGAACTTTCAATATAGCAACAGAGTAAAACCCATATAGGGGACGCAAGCCATTAAAATTTTATCAAAGAGATTAAAATTAACTATTTCTAGAGTGGACATATGAATTTATCACATGCATGACTCTTGTTTAATATTATATGTTCGTATCTATCTATAATTATTAATAGTAATGTCATGGATTACATGTTCGTGTTGTCCTGTCTATACATTATGAATGTCACAAATCATACAGTCGTATTCATTAAAATTTTGTCTCTCCAACATCTTGACAATATGAAGGAATCACTCATAAATACAGTAGTGAGGGAAACCTCTGGGGGCGACATGACGCCTCAGGGTACCTCATACCTGTCTGGTTTCATTATAAATATGCCGACGGCTGTTAGCCCGCTCCTCAACAGTATACGTACAAAGTATACACAAAACTGAATACTAAAATTTAACGCATATGCTTGTGCGTATTTTAAATCAGCTGTCAAAAAGACTTAGACATATATGTAATTTTTATAATTGTCTATAACCGACTTGACCAAATTAAAAAAAACTTGTTTATTGGTCTGACTGATTAGATGTATACAAGGATGGATGGATGATGTAAGAAGATATCTCGCTGAAATTTGGCTCAGATATAGAACATAGCCTGGTAGAATACATAGGTTACTAATTAAGTTTTTTTTTATTCCGCGCGGACAGTCAACGGCAACATCTAGTATGTTTTTGGTTTCGGAAATCTATTTTGAGTCGTTACTGGAGACTATAGGAGGAAGACACAACTTTGAGTATGCCAGTGATTTTCTCATCATCAGCTCACTATACGTCCCAACTGAGGGGCTCGGAGCCTAACCTAAGTTAGGATTGACTAGGTCATAGTCAACCACGCTGGCCAAGTGCGGGTTGGTTGACTTCACACATATCATTGAATTTCTTCACACATATGTGCAGGTTGCATCACGATGTTTTCCTTCACCATAAGATTGATTCATGAAGGAGTGATTTTATCAACAATTGTTGATCCTTTGAAGAAAAATAATCGGGATATTACGTCTTACATGTTATAAAATTAATATTTTCTATATTGTCCACGAAAGGCATTCTTAATAAAAATATTTTAAACGTAATAAAGGCGATATCATTGAAGCCTTTCCAATAACATTTTTCATAGTTGAGCTATTACTATTTTTTTTTCGCATAACATAACTCATAAATCGTATCGAATAAATATTTGTTTGATTCTGATATTATGCGAAATATTTGCACAGTTCAGGTCATATTCAATCTAGTACCAAATTAAGGGAATAGCAATTGAATATATTTGAGAGGCGAAATAGTAATTTTGAAATTCCATACGGATATTTGTGTGTATTTGTGGCGTGCTTGAACTGTTTAGTTTTATAGGTGAGCGATGCGATTCAACGCGATGCAGAGCTATGGAATGCAACACAATACGCTCCGATACTATGCGAGCGACACACTTCAGGCTTTTCACTAACATACTTTAATAACAATATTCGCAAGGCGAATTTTAACTTGTGTTCCAACAATCCATATTCACCGATTAATAGAATTTTCGCGTCAAGAGTTTCCCGTTGGGCCGATCGGTCGAACACATGGAAAAACGAGTTCCCGTTTGACAGCTTTAATTTCTATGTGTACAGTCATTTACAAAAGTTTTATTGTAATATTGTATTGTAAATTAAGTAAGACAAAGAGTGTCGCATCAGCCGTCAAAGTATAACATGCTACTTGTCACCCGCGACTCCATCCGAGTGGAATTTCGCGTTTATATTATTATTGTTATAGTTAACGCTAACGAGTAATTATGATCCCATTATCCTTAAACAGTCTACTTTGAGTACTGTCGAAATGTACAACACAATTCATACTTAACGTCGGCTCGGCATTCGCAAAAGACGCTACATAAACACAATTTTTAATATCAGTGTGATGTAAAGTTGGACGTAGTAGCGCATAGCACATAGCTAACCACTATCCAAATAAAGTTTGAGAACTTTTTTATCAAGACTCTAGCGGCCGCTTTTAATTTAATCAAAAATCTAATTAAATATAGATAAAATAACTTCTCAACTCAAATCATAACTTTAAATTCACATTGCTTTATACAAAAATGATCGCAGTTACAAATTTTCTGACAAACAAATACAGACGCTGTCCGGTCGGCAATGTTACCTTTACGAACATCATACAAATATTTTAACACAGCGCAAACGTAGCATATGAGTTTACTTTTACATTATTGAAATAGTTCGAGGTAAAAGTAGGTGCATGTGTATTTGCGTTAAAACGTTTGAATTCTAACGTAAATAAAACTTTAAATAAAATGCGTATTAATAATTCTCGTTTCAACAATATTTTGAAAGTAAATATATGAAATA